ATCTGAAGGCAGAACTCTTTGCTGTGGGGTAGGATGTTCAATCTCTGGCCCCATAATCAGCTCCCAGGCTTGGTGCAGGCTCAGTGGTATGTCCAGAGATGAGAGCTGGGCTTGCCAGTGAAGGAAAGGACACTACCCAAGGTACTCTGCTCTGTCTTGGCCACCTAATGGCCCAGCTTGACTCTCCTAGAACTGTCAACTTTTTCCTTAGCCTTTCAGCCCCATCCTGAACTCCTTCCTAGCTTCATCTTTCAGTGTTCCTTTAATGTCCCTCTTGATTAGGATATTGGGGCTGGCAAAGGCAAGTATTATGCTGTTAACTACCCACTCCGAGATGGGATTGATGACGAGTCCTATGAGGCCATTTTCAAGCCGGTAAGTGACTTAATCCTCCCCTTTGGGTACAGGTGGGATTGGTCTAGGGGAAGGGTAGCAAAGCACCCCACCATATCTCAGGCTTCCCTTCCCACAGCTAATTGGGAAGTGAGAGGTATTTCAACCCATTGTAGTGTGATCAGTTAGGGCAACAGAAATCATCCAAATATTTGTTGATGCCTTCTGTGGGTCAGGACCTCTGCTGGATACAAGACCATAAGAACATCTAAGGCATGATCTTTGCCCTCACAGTCTGTGGTTAGGGAGGCGGGCACTCACCCAGTAGCATGTGGTCAGTGCTGTTTTATATCTCCATTTCTGTGGAATCAGCTCCTGGGAAATTATTGGGGTTTTTTTGGTGGTGCTGTGCTTCCTGGATTTTTTGTTTCTTTTTTTTTTTTAATTTTTTTTTTTTAAGAGAGAGAGAGAGAGAAATATTTAATATTTATTTTTTGTTTTCGGCGGACACAACATCTTTGTATGTGGTGCTGAAGATCGAACCCGCCGCACGCATGCCAGGCGAGCGCACTACGGCTTGAGCCACATCCCCAGCCCGATTTTTTGTTTCTTGTTGCTTTACATTGATGTCTGCATATTTGAAGAAGAGACTTACTCCAGACCTTGCAGACTGGCTTTGTCTGGGAAAGCCCATCCAGGATTCTGGGGCCAGGCTTGCAGCAGGAGTCCTCAGGCAGGCTGGCCTAGTGCCTGTGTTTCTGAGGGATGAACAGAGGAGTGAGATAAACTGCTGCCTGGGCTGGGAAGAAGGTAGTCAAGGATGAGTTCCAGGGAGGTGGTGACATTTGAGCTGGACTTTGAAAAACAAGGAGGTGCCCATGTAAAGAAGGAGGTGGGGGCTGAAGAAATGGCATTTGGTAGAAGGAACAGCACCTGCCCAAGTACAGAGGTACGAGTATAGAGCAGCTTGTAGACAGATGTGTAGGCAGAGGGTTGGAAATGGATGTTGGAGTCTGCATTTCAAAGGCAGCCTTGAGTGCCATGCAAATGAAGTCCAGTTTTTATTTATAAGGAACAGGAAACTGTTGAGTGTGGCCTAAGGAGTAATCTACTATGTGCCTAACTAGTAGTAAGGGTGACAGAAGTTTCTGAGTTATGGTTTCAGTCCTGTGTAACATTAGACTCTAGTGAGAACAAGATAGACAAAAGTAAAGTGCCTCCTTGCCATATGAGGCTCAAAGTCTGTAGGACCAAATGAGTAAAGCGGATGTAGTTAATGGTTGGGAAGCTTCCTAAAGGAAGTGGCACTAGAGCTTGGGCAATGACATAAAGATTAGGGAGGTGACAGCGAGGCCATTCGAGGTTCAGTTAATAGAGCTAGAAGTGTCTTGGAGATCCTTTCAAATAGAAAACTCCCATTTCTCTACCCCACAGCATGAGGGACAGTAGAAAGATATGAGTGAGTGATAAGAAACAAAGTGCTTTACCCACACTTTCTACCCCTGAACCTCATATAGCTTTTCTTGAGGTTGATGGTGACCAGGATGTGTCCTTTTAGGTCATGTCCAAAGTAATGGAGATGTTCCAGCCTAGTGCGGTGGTCTTACAATGTGGCTCAGATTCCCTGTCTGGGGATCGGTTAGGTTGCTTCAATCTGACCATCAAAGGTGAGAGCAGGTAGTAGAAGCATGGGTGGGCAGGGTCCTGCTGAGTGCTCCGGTAACCCAGAACCCCTTTTTCCTCCAAAGGGCATGCCAAGTGTGTGGAATTTGTCAAGAGCTTCAACCTGCCTATGCTGATGCTGGGAGGAGGTGGTTACACCATTCGTAATGTGGCCCGGTGCTGGACATACGAAACAGCTGTGGCTCTGGACACAGAGATCCCCAATGGTACTAGTTCCAGGGCCAGGATGTACCGGGCAGGAGCTGGTGCTCATGTGCCCTCAGGTTCACAAGCTTATACCCATTGGTCACAGAACCTCTCCTCTGACACTTCTTATGACAAGACCATAGCCATGGGTTTTTTCTCACTAGTCCTTTTTGATGATCACCCTCCTGCTTTGGATGTGGGCAGAAATTATCAGTAATTATTTACAGCTTTGGAATACCCTACTCAATAGGGTAACTAGGTTTATGAGCTAAAGGAATGCTCATAATGAGTGTCCTAAACCACTGGTTTGGGCCTTCCTCTCCTAGTGATACATATGCCACAGCATGTACACTAGAGAATGGTGTTACGGCACCCAAGTTTCACCCTACCTCAGAGGCATCTTCTCTCTTTTATAGATGGGTGAACAGACCCAGAGAAACCGAGATGATTTTCTCAGGGTCCTGTGGCAGCTAGGTCTCTGACTGTCTTCTCCCTGCCCCAACCAGAGCTTCCATACAATGACTACTTCGAGTATTTTGGACCAGATTTCAAGCTTCACATCAGTCCTTCCAACATGACTAACCAGAACACGAATGAGTACCTGGAGAAGATAAAGTGAGTATATCCCCGGCTGCCTTTTGATTGAGGATTCCAGGCTCTGGTTTGTCTCTAACCAAAGCCCAGCCACCCTTTCTCTCATTGGTCATAGACAGCGGCTCTTTGAGAACCTGAGAATGCTGCCCCATGCACCTGGGGTCCAAATGCAGGCCATTCCCGAGGATGCCATCCCAGAGGAGAGTGGTGATGAGGACGAAGAAGACCCTGACAAGCGAATCTCGAGTAAGACCCCAACCCAGGGCTCTGTACCTTTCCATTCAGTAGGAAGCTGACTTCCTCCACTCATTTCCCCCAGGCTACCAGCCTGTGGAGACACCTGTTTCAAGTTTAAGTGCCTTTAGGTTCAGGTTAGGGAGTCCGAGTCCCCTCTTTTCCTTCTCTTGGTCCCTTTCCCTAGTCTCTTGGAGGACACACAGGAGAGTATTGGACATAGATCCTGAGATAAACTGCCCCTGGCTCTCTTACCCATTCTTTCCATCCACTGTCTCCCAAGTCTGTTCCTCTGACAAACGAATTGCCTGTGAGGAAGAATTCTCTGACTCGGATGAGGAAGGAGAGGGTGGCCGCAAAAACTCTTCCAACTTCAAAAAAGCCAAGAGAGTCAAAACAGAGGATGAAAAAGAGAAAGACCCAGAGGAGAAGAAAGGTGGGTTTGGGTTGGGCCAGTCTTGGGTCTTAAGCCCTGGAGGAGGATCAGTCTATGTAGGGCACCAGGAGGAGGGAGATGACTCAGGCCCTGCCAGCTCCTAGGGGCCACTTAGCTCCTTGGCCTTTTAGTGACTCCCAGAAGTGGCAGAACCCTGAAACAATGAAATACTCATCTCTACTGTCTGACTGAGCCTGGCTTTCACATACCACCCGAGCCCTTTTCTCAGCACTTCACCCCAGTTTCCCAGGGGGCTGCCTCCGCCCACTAGGTTCTGACTCTAGCAGGCTGGGAAACCGGTCCAACCTGTTTGTTTTCAACAGGGCTCACTGGGAGGACCTGGGATGGACTTTTCTATGTCCAATGAGCTGTACTATTGGGAAAGGGGTTTTAGGCAAGTGAAGACCCCCCTGGGACTTTCCAGAGGGGCTACCCTTAACCATCTCTGCACTCTTATATTCTAGAAGTCACAGAAGAGGAGAAATCCAAGGAGGAGAAGCCAGAAGCCAAAGGGTGAGGAAGAAGCTGTCAGCCATCTCCCTGGCATCGGAGCATCAGCCCCTTTGTCCCACCACTCTGAGGGAAGGCACAGGGACAGCTGATCTCACTTACAAAGGCCTCTTTCAGGGACCAGTCTATCTCTGCAGTTCTAGGCAGAGCTAGGAAGTCCCAGCCCCCAGCAGTCACCTGGGCAGCCAGGGTCCTGTGGAAGTGCATTGTATCCACACTTTTGTCTCAGGGTGGTTTATCTCATGCCAGTCTCTGCTTTCTCCACAGGGTCAAAGAGGAGGTCAAGTTGGCCTGAGCAGACTTCTCCAGCTTTGGCTTCTGGCCAAATTCCCCACCTTTTTCCTCCAATCCCTCAGATTTTTATATTTTCTATTTCTCTGTGTATTTATATAAAATATATAAAATATAAATGTCCCCAGGGACTAGATAGGAACCAGGGCCCTGATCCCAAGGCAGCTGTGTGGAGGAAACTTCCAGTAGTTGCCTTGTTCCCCATCCCTCTTTAAGGGAACCATCTACAGTGCAGATCTGGGTGGAAAGGATGTAACCATAAGAAAAATCCTAAAATGACAAGGGTCTGTTTGACCCTTTGGAAAGGTGCCCTTACCAACTGTTCTAGAAGGGATGGGTGGGTCTTCAGGGACCCCCTGTACTTTTCAGACTCCTAACATCAGCCATTGGTTGTTTTCTTACCTTCCCACTGGCCTCAATAGAGCCAAGAAACTCACACTGCCCTGTCTTCCCCCCAGCTCCACAGGTGAAGGTTGGTAGTCTAGCTTCCTTTCTAAGATACTATTTTCATTTTTGTGAGACTTTGTAATAAAATGGTACATTTCTATACCCTCCTGAGCTTTTGTTTCCTGGCATTGTCCCTGGATTTCAGTTCTTCCTATTCATTGGTGTGCCTTCTGGATACCTGGTCCACAAAAAAACCCGAACTTACCTGTCTTTTCAAAATGCTTTCCTTAAGTTATCAACCAATTTCCTCACCTTATCCCCAGAAGACCACTCATTAAAGCACCACTAAAGGGATGACATTTATTCCTTTTCCAAATGTTACAGTAAAACCAGGTGGAAGAGAATGGTTTTAGCAATTAGAAAAAAAAAAAGTACAAATCTGGGGTTTGGCCATTAAAAGTTATTTACAACAATGGGAGAAAAAAAGACAACAAGAAGTTGTTTCACATTACAGACCTCCCTCCCACCCCAAAGCCTAATACTTGCTTACCAAGTCAAAAAAGAGACACAGTTGATTCACAAGCTGGAGGTTTGAACTTGAGTAAGACATTTATAAAAACCTAGACAGGGGCAGTGTCCTCCCCAGCCCAGGTGCCACTAGGCACAGCACAAAAGACTAAAAACTCAACAGGGGAAAGGCTGGACACTCAGGGTTTGGGAGTACAAGCACCCCACTTCTGGCTCAGGGATTGGGGAGTGGGATAAACAAAACCTACTTGGAAAAGAACTGGGAGAGAAAACCAGCAATTGCCTTCTGCAGGGCTGGGGACAGGGAAGGAGGTAGGGTCAGGAACAGGAGCATTTCACATCACTAACCTAACTTGGGAAATTGTAAGGGACCATCTTCAACTGGCCTTAAGAGAAAAACCAGATGGCTGATGGGAGAATCCACAGGAGGGAAAGGAGAAAAGGGAACGTGGCTGGGAGGGGGCAACAAGCCCCTTCCTTTCTGGGCACAGGAAGGCAGCCAGGGCACCAGGTCCAGGCAGTGACCTCACAAGGACAGCACAGTTTTTGCAGCTTAGAGATCACCCACCTGTCCCCACCCAGCTACTCATTCTGCTCAACGCTGGCTGATGCAGGGCCACTTTCTGACCCCAAGGGAGTGGACGGCTCTGCAGCCTGGGGCCCTGCCTCTTCTTCTGTGTCTCCTCCCTTGGAGGAGGCAGCACTGGCCTCTGCCCCTTTGGCYTGGGGCTCCTGGCTCTCGGGGGTGGCAGCAGCCTTCCCTTCCTGGGCAGTGCCCTCCTCGCTGCAGGCACCGATCTCCCCCTGCTCCTGCTCTTCCTCTGTGGGTGAGGAGGCAGAAGAATCACCCCCACCCTCCTTCCGATTTCTCTTGAAGGACAGGCCACTCAATTTAAAAGGCTTCTTGAAAGAGAATTTCTTCTTCTTCTTAGGGGTCTCCTTGGGAGCRGTTTCCCCCTTGGCCTCAGCGCCCTGGCCAGGGGGTGCTGGCTCGATGGCATCACCAGTGGCCCCAGCTGCCTCATCTGTTCCGTTCACGGGGGGCGACTCCCCTTCACCCTTGGGGGATAAGTCTCCATTGCTTTTCACGTGGCCATTCTCCTGCAGGGCAGAGGAGACAGCAATGAGGGCCGGGGTTATTCTCCCCCTCCCCCAACCCGCTTCTGGATCTTTCCAGGTAACGGGGTCCACCACTCGGATCCACTGCGACCCATGTCTGGCTTCAGCCTCACCCCACACCCGGAATCCCGTCAAACATCGTCTCTCGCAGGCGCGCTGGGACAGCCGCGGAGGCCACCACCGGCAGGAGGCGCTGGGCACCGGGGCCCCCACCCCCCTCCCCCGGGGCGCGCTCTCCATTCCGCACGGAACCGCTGCGGGCCGCGGATCCCGGGCCAAGGGGTGAGCCCGCCAGGCGATATTGGGCGGGAAGCCGCCCCGGGGCGCTGCCTCTCTACACCTGGACGGCCTATTTTCCCAGCCTCCTGCTTTGTGTAAACGGCCCCCACCCACCCCAGGCTCTCCCCACCTCTCGGCTCCCCCCTTCAAAAAAGACCGCGGGCCACCGAGGTCGTGTGTGCGGGTGCATGCCCTCCCCTCCAGGCACCCGCCCCGCAGCCCCTGGGCGCCCCCTTGGCGCGGCCCAGCAGCGCCTTTGTTCCCCGCGCGGCACTCGGGGCGGCCGGGGGACAGCGCCGGGGGCCGGGACCGCGAACAAAGAAGGCGGCGGGGCCCGGCCGGCGCCCCCTCCCCGCCCCTCCCCTTGCTACGCCCGCGGGGGCTGCGGCGCCGAGAACAAAGGGACCGGGCGGGGGAGGGGGCGCCGCGTGTCCCGGGCCGGACAAAGCGCGCGGCCCCGGCCCAGGGCCCTAAAGGGGGCGAGGCGCGAGAGGAGGGGGCTGGGGCCGGCCGTGCAGAGCGCACCCACCTGTCCGTTGGCCTTTGCGGGGGAAGCGCCTGCTGCCTCCTCGGCGGTCACGTCGCCCCGGGGAGCCTTGGAGCTCTGGCTGCCCATAGTGGGGGGGGGGGTCTGCTGGGGGGCGCCCGGAGCCGCCCCGGGCTCGCGCCGCAGGGGATAGTCCGGCGGGGTCGGCCCGGCGGGCGGAGGGGTGGGGCTGGCGCCTGAGGGGGAGGGGTATCGGGGGGAAAGCGAGCTGCACCCCCGCTCCGCGGCCGACCCGCTAGCTGCGCCCGCCGCCGCCGCGCTCCGCGCCAGAATGCCGCCCGCCGCCCGCCGAGCCGCCTATATATATGCGCCCAGAGCTCGGGGCGGGGCCGGACATTTAAATGAGCACCCAATCGAGGGGCGGAGGCGGGGTCGGTCGCGGGCCCCACTTGCGCAGTGGGCGACGCTGGCGGTCCGGTCTCCCCCAGTCCCTCCCGACTACCAGGAGCAGGTAGGGACGATCGTGGGAAGAAGAGGCAGCGGTCCTTAAGCGAGCTGAACGCAGAGGGCATCCTCGAGGAAAGAGAAGCGCGCAGTCTTTTCCTCTTCTCACCGCCTCCCTCTCAGGGTGGGCGTCCGCGCACAGTGGGGTGGCCCCCATCTCCTTGGTCCTGCCCTGCAGCCCTTGTCAGTCTCCCCTTGAACTCTTCGAAGGGCTCACATGCCCAGACTCGTCAGACGGCTGGTCCTGAGTTATGCTCCAGAAAATATGATCATAGCAGCCTTGGGGCCCCCGCGCTGGGTCCGGCGCCACGAAGGTCTGGAGACCTGTCAAAGGTCCCATCCACTTCCCTACCTGCTTGCCGCTACCAGCCTGGGGGCGAGAGGGGAGGTGTGACTTAACGCGAGGTCACTCTAGTCAGACTTGTGAGGCTTGTCCATCAGTCTATCGTCCCTCCTCTCAGTCCGTCAGCCAGGACAGAGAAATTCACCTCTTTCTGGCCCTCGACCTGAACCCACTACAAAGTTCCTGTGTGTGTGATGGGGGTGGGGTGGAGGGATCTGTGATCTTAACGGGCATCTCCCCATGTGAGGCCGATGGGCCTGAGGCRCAGAGACGTTGATGTAACCCGTCTGCCCTGAGTTTGGTGTCCCCCACTTCCTGCTTTGCTCCCCTCCTCATACAGGCAACAGAACCCCAGTGAGGGACTCAACAGACCTTAAACACTCCAGTTTGAAGGGAAGGGATGGGATGCCACCAAAGGTCCCTCAGCACCTTTGAGAGTCCTTTGGAGACAGCCCCCCAGGTTGCCCAGCCCAACCACTGACCCTGCCTGAGAGTGGGGAGCCTGGAGGTAGGAGCAGGGTGGAGGTGGGTGAAGACCTTGGTTCTCTTCACTTCTCCTTCCCCAAAGTCCTGGCTAGCCCAGGATGTGTCTGTCTGGCCGCCTACCCTCAGTCCCCAGGAGGAAAGGGATGGGGGCTGGAGGAAGCAAAGTGGAGCTACAGCTCAGCCAGTCCCTCCCTTCCTCTTACTGGTAAGACCTCCTGGGAGGCCTGAGGCTGTGAGGTATGGAGACAYCCCAGGGCCTGAGAAATTGGGAATTCCCCACAGATCTGGCTGCAGAGGGGCTGGGAAAGCTGAGGTGGCTTCAGCATTCCACATTCACTCCTGTATCCTCATCCCCACCCCAATTCTGAGATTGTAGAATACTCTCAGCTTCTTTAACACTGCCCCTCTTTTTACAGACCAGAACACTGAAGTTCAGAATGGGAAACTGACATGCTCAAGGGCACACAGTAGCGAAGGGTGAGAAAGGCTCTGGAAAAATGGAGACTGGAGGCTAAAAATCCTTGGAGGAATTTCCTGTTGAAATCTGGATCTCCCTGGTCAGAGTGGAGGCAAGAAGACCTAGTTTGGGGATAAAGCCCCATACCCCCATTGCAGCTCACTGACAGTACAGTGACTCCTCCATCCGCTACCATTCAGGGATGGACATCGTGACCTGCTCTCTGTCTTCACCACAATAGGGAACCCACAATGCTGCCAGGCGCTGCCCGCACCGGCTGGCAGGGCTTAGATGAAGGATGTGTGAGTCTTGGAGGGGTTGGGTGGGGTCAGAGGTTAAGATGGGATCCCACGATTCCTGATCTCCAGGTGCTGCCTGGTAGAGGTGAGAGGCACATTTTTCAGAGGATTCCAGGAGCAGGGTGGAGCAACAGGGCTAAAAGATCTTGAGTGGCTAGAGAGCCTGGTCCATGGTGGAGGGGGGACTGCATCCCACCAGACATTCAGGGGGCTGGGGAGGAGGTGCCTGGGAGCCCAATCCTGTAGAAAATCCAGGTCCCAGCAGAATCCAACTTCTTGAAGAGGGAGGAGACTTAGTATGCTTGGGGGTGGGTGTCCTACAGCAGCCCTATAGCCTCTTCCCGTCCACACTGCGGCTCCTTCCTTCCCAGCTGCTGCCAACCCAGACAATGTGCCCATTGTTCTGTGTCTCTGGAAGCCTGTGTGCAACTATGTGTGTCTGTTTTTCTCTGTGTGTGACTATGTATTACTCTGTGTCTGTGTTGAGACTTTGTGACTGTGTGTGTGTGTGTGTGTGTGTGTGTGAGAGAGAGAGAGAGAGAGAGAGAGAGAGAGAGAGAGAGAGACCAGGTGTGTATATTTGTGGTTGTTCAAGTCTGCATCTTTCTTTGGCTCTGTGTATTTGAGGGGGAGGGAGAACTTTGGTGATACCTGCTGACTCTCTGAGACTTTCTGGGTGTGTACCTCTTTCCTTGAGACTGTGTGTTGGTGACTGTGTCTGTGATTGGGTGTGTGACTATGAGTGTGAGTGTGGGGGTAGAGGAGTGACTGTGTGAGTGTTCCCAAAGGGCTTAGGTGTGCCTCACTGGGTCACTGAGGCTGTGGTGGTCAAAACCTTTGAGAGGTGAGCCTTTGCCAGGATGGAGTGACAGGGAAAGGAGGAATACGAAGAACAGGATGCCTGGGATGGAGGGGGAAGGGGAGCTACAGGGACCAGACACCCCATAGACACACATTCCCTATCTGTTCCAGTTCTCGGGTAAGGGCTCAGATCCTGGCCCCGCATATATACAGCCTCAGGAAGAGACATCAGAGTATGGGAGGTCCTGCTGGAGGCCCTAAAGGATGTGGCTTGGCAAAGCCCAATTCCCAGCCCCAGAGTCCCCATCCTCTCCTGGGGGCATCAGCTTGACCTGGAGACCTCAGTTCTGGCCCAGGTGGGCCTCCTCCTGATGTGACTGTTAGCCCATCCTTCCTCTTGGGCTTCAGTCTGCTCATCTGTTCAGTGAGAGAGTGAGCCTCCTGATTCATAGTCACAAAGACTTCCTGGAGTCCCTCCTTCTGCTCAAGTGTAGAAAGGGTAAGTGGCGAGTCATGCGGGTCCTTGCCCTCAGGGATTTCCCATCTAGTAGGAGAGACAGGCAATGCCTTAAGGGGACAGAGGAGAGGCCCAAGGAGGGAGAACCTAGAGCGAGGCAATGCAGGAGCAATGAAGTCTGTGTGCAGGTGTGGGGGGAGGAAGGGCCAAGTCTGGGCCAAAGTTTGGAAGATGAGATCCTAGGATTCAGAGACAGGCTGGGTGCAGAAACAATGGGGACAGGGGAGTGATGCTGGGCCACCCGATTTTCTGTTTTAGGTGTCACTGGGTGAAGCAGACCCATTGACTGGGACAGGGCATCAGTGGGAAAAAGACTTGGTGGGGGAGTTGCTGAGTCTCAACTTGCTGAGTTCAAGAGACCCAAGGAAAATTCAGGAGGACATGAGGAAGCAGCCTGAAGTCTTTAGGCTTAAGTACACAYATCCAATCACATTTCCTGAGTTAAAAGCCAGTGCCCAAAGTCTGGTTGGTGTCCTTACAGAGACAACACCCAGAGGGGTTTTTGTTTGTTTGGGTTGTGGTGCTGGGGACTGAACCCGTGGCCTTATGCATGCTAGGCAAGCACTCTACCATTGAGCTACATCTCCAGCCCAGGCAGAGGTTTTAAATCAGTACTGATCCCAGGAAATCTGGCCTCTGATCACTGCCAGTAAGAGATACCTGTAGCCAAGAGCTGGATGAGGTCACCCAGGAAGTATCTATGCAGCGGGAGCTCTGCATGGGTGAGGCAGGCAGCAGGAAAGGACCCAGGAGGAGTCATAGATTGGAATAGGAAGAACCCTGGAGTAGAGAATCATGGGGATTCCCAAGCATTGGGGAGATTTGTAGAAAGGCAGGAAAAACCAACAGTAATATGGTCATGACTGTTGGCACTGGTGATGCGCTTGCTGTATGCACAGCCATGTACTGACAGCTCTCCATACATGACCTCAGGACCCATGAGATGTGCACCATCATGGTTCCCATTCATAGGAGGAAACCAAATCTTGATGAGGCGGATGTTGATGTGAGCGAGATAAAAGGATAAAGCTGGGCCCATTGGTGCATGTGATTTGGGAGTCTGTGGCAAGAGAACTTAAGTTCAAACCCAGCCTCAGCAACTTAACGAGGCCCTAAGCAACTCAGTGAGTTGAGTCTCTAATAAAATATAAGAAAGGTCTAGGATGTAGCTCAGTGGTTAAGCACCTCTGGGTTCAATCCCTGGTACCAAAAAAAAGAAAGAAAGATAAAAGGAGGAGGGCAGGACTGGAGAAAAGTGGTTTTTAGGAGCTCTAAGCATTCAGCTCGGCTGGAGGCAACTAGAGGTGCTTCAGGTTGAGAAGAACAGTGGTGGTGGTGGGCAAGGCACAGGGCCAGGCCTCCAGGGCACAACTCCCAGAACCAGGGCTGCTCCCCATGGGCCCGGGCTCCCTTGACTCTGGCTTGGTTGTCCACAGCCCACCTGCTAATTATAGGCCTTGAACCCTGGTATGGTCCTTGGGCCTCCTCAAGGGTCCTTCACTGGGACACACTATCCAGTCACCAAATCACAAGGACAGGAATTCTGAAAATCCCCTTTCAGAATTTAAGGCCTCCCAGAACTTTGGTTTCTCTCTTTCCTCTTCCTTCCCCTGAAGAGGGAGAGAGATGTGTGTGGAGGGGAGGATGTTGGTGGGGGCTGCATAAACCAGTGGTACCCAGTCACTACCCAAGAGAGCTGTCTCTGGGGTGCAGCTTTCCCATTAGCCAAAAGGCATGTGCTCCCAGCTCACCTGCTTACCTACCCAAGGCCTGATGAGGTAAACAGAAATTCAACCCAGTTTATCTGGGCCACAATGAGACTTTCCTGACTCATTCCTCACCTCTTCCTGACTTTTAGTTTCTTTTCAGATCATGGGTGTCTTTGAGAAAGGAATGGCCAAACCAGTAAAATGTGTATTGCTTACAACT